CCAGAAAGTCGAATTTATAACAGTAAATGGTGATCTAAAGCGGTAAATTTAGTGGAACGAAATTGTATCATGGTGTATAAAAGCTGCTATTCAATCGCTTGTTTTGTATGGAAAAAGGTTTCACATGCAAATGGATTTTAACAATTCAGAATTTTTGTCAGAAAAAATTAAAAATATTTGACATTTTCGAGACCAAATAATTTGAAAATAAATCAAATCAGCTGCTCTACTGATACTACCTGTTCAATGTACCTTGGTATAGGGTTAAGAGTTGACATTACAGTCGCAGTTCAAAAGAGAGAAATGTCGAAATCACTTCTACCTTGTTATGCCTTGGTTTGAATGCTTTTCATTCGCATACTCCCATTTGAAGATAGAAAATTTAAAACAAAATGTATATTCATAATTTACAAAATTGAAAGCTGGCTAGAAGTTTTAATCAACTCATGTATAGGTCTATTACATATGAATATGTAAATTGTACATATATGTATGTATACAGTGCGTTAAGAAATGAAAGCCACTGCTGCTTTGTAGCTGAAATGTTTTGAAACTTTATGGGAGCAATGTTTTCACACAGTGTGACCACGTTACGTACGTAAATATTTATAGAAATATTCGGCCCGGAACTACCCATATTAAAAATACTTCATATTTCAAAAACTTCTGTTTACTGTTCAAATATTACAATAACAGAGCAAAGTACCATTTGCTTGAGAACATATGTATTTCTTTAGCTTAAAAAAAAAGGTACTGCGAAATTTGCCTCAAATTGCATTTTTGAAACAATAGATTTGCTGGCGTATTACTAGTGCACTCTGATGTAAAAAACAATCATATTTCGTTCGAAATTTTTCTGAACTCCATTTTGCTTAAATTGCTGTGAGGTAGCCGTTATTAACCTGAAAGATGATATTTTGTATTTTGAAGGGAATGCTTCAAAAATTGATTGAAATAAAATCGGTTTCGCGGAAGTTATCGAGTTGGCGAAGACTTTTAAACTTCATTTTTCACAGGATATTACTTTTTCTAACATTTTTTCAAAACCAATTTAGCCCCGCTTTTTATGATAAACTGCTCACACTGCTCTTTACAAACCTCGTGGGATTTCGCCCATAATTTGGGATTTTCGCACCATAAAAGGGCGCGTGGGATTTTGCATCTCATTATGGGATTTTTAGCTAAATACAATTTTATGGTTCTATTGCTTTTTATACCCGAGCGCACTTGTGCACAAGGGTATATTAATTTTGTTCACATAACGGTTGTTTGTAACAGCCAAAACGAATCGAGATAGATATAGACAAATGTATACATAAATGATCAGNATTTGCTTTTAATTCCAACATGACGGATGGGACATTTAAACTTGCTTTTCCCCAAACTTTAACTCATTTCTTCTTAACCCTTAACTTTGCGAATTTCAAACTGTTAACATCTGAATTCAAGTAGCAGTTTAACACGAAACTAATAAAGTAGAAAACTTAGTTATATGATTTACACAGAAAATTTTCATTTTCCCCAAGAGTGACGGCTGAGACAACGACGACACATGCCTCTCTGAGTGGATGGATTCGTTTGCCATTTTAGACAAACTTTGTATCAAAATATTTCTCGCATAGCGGCGTTCTCTAATATAGTTAGCCCTAACCGCTTACAACTGTGAGCTCAGAAGGTCTAAAAGGGCTACGTGGCGTGAGCACTGCGGAAGTATTTCCTCTCTTCCAGAGGGGCATCGCCGTCAGAAGGCCCTTAAACTAGATCTTCTGAAAGTCCTATGCACTTTGAAAAGACCAGATGGTACCTACACTGGCATCACGGAAGAGACCAGCAGGCTTCTGTTGGAAACCCACTTCACGGGATGTATTCCCCAAGGCACATGTCTTTCAATAAACACGGCGAACGCTGTGTGCGCAAACAGGAGGACAAGAGGCCTAGGAGGAAGAATCGTCACTGTTGAAAAGATATCGTGGACCTTTAGTGCATATAAATCCCCTGGTCCAGATGGTATCTCCCCATGCCTGCTGCAGCAGAGCTTGGGCTTAATATCTGGGCCACTAGTCAGATTGCTGAGAGCAAGTCTCTTACTTGCTCACATACCAACAACATGGAGTGAAGTCAAAGTGGTCTTTATACCCAAAGTGGGGAAAAACTCAGCACAACTCCCAAAGGCGTATAGGCCAATTAGCCTCAGTTCCTTTCTAGTAAAGACATTAGAAAAACTTATTGACTTTCACATAAGGGATAACTTTCTCAGGAATAAGCCTCTGTGCCAGAGTCAGCAGGCATACCAGGCAGGCAAATCTACTATTACTGCAATACATAGCCTAACTCAAGTCATTGAAAAGGCATTGCGGTATAAACAGATAGCTTTGTGTGCATTCCTGGACATATCAGGTGCTTTCCATAATATGTGCTATGAAGCAATATCGACAGCTATGATACGAAAGGCCTTCTAAGGGATTGGATCATAAGCATGTTGAGATCCAGAACTATAATAGTGGAACTAGGAGACAACTGCCACCCGTGGCTGTCCTCAAGGGGGAGTCTTATCGCCCCTATTTTGGACACTGGTTGTTGACGAACTTCTTGAAAAGCTAAATGGCAATGGATTCAAGGCATATGGATATGCCCTAGTCATCTACGTTTTCGGCTGGAATGAGGACACAATTTGTTCCAGATTGCAAGCTCCCCGTAGGAGATAGTCAGGGCTATCACGGAATCCATCGTAGAAAATCTACGAATTCGAATGCCCGCTACGAATACGAAACAATTGGTACACTCAGAAAAAAGCATTTCCTTAAAACAAGAAAAGAGTATCCTTGTTTTAGAGTTACTGTTTTTTCCTTAATATTATGAAAAATTTACTCAATTTGAGAAGTTTTTCCTTAATTCAGTTCGTCATTAATTTGAGGAAGTGAATTTACTCAATATAAGTAATAAGTTCCTCATTATAAGTAATAATTTTCTTAATTAATTTTGAATTCTATCAGTGCTGTGCAAACTTAATAGTTTTCCTTGCAAATTGCAGCTGTGGCGTCGCGTGAAGACTACTGCTTCTGGTTCTGAGATCGCAGGTTCGAGTCCGGTTGGAGATAGTTAGAGTAAGGTAAGTCAATTATTACAACTTAAATATAAAATTACAAGTTGTAAATTCTGAAATGCCATAAAAAATAAATTAGATAAATTTTTTTTAAATACAATATAAAAAATTACAAATAAAAATAAATAAAAATAAATTTTTTTTTAATTCCTGCTCTGGGACTCGAACCTTGCATCTCTCGACTATCACTCCAGAGCTTTGCTCTGTCGCCCGTTGCCACTGTTTGAGCGCCTTGAGCAAAATGATATCCTTACTCCTTTTTCCTTAAAACTAAGGAATTGTGTTTTCCTTAAACTGAATCAAATCGTTTGCTCATATTAAGGCAACCACGTCATTGGCGCCATTTCAAGGTAATATTTCCTTAGAATAATATACTTTTTTCCTAGCATCAAGGAATGTTTTTTCTGAGTGCATCATTTTGATTTTTACACATTCAGGTTTCTGGAAAAAGGGGGACGATATGATCACACTTCAAGAAGACGCCATAAATAGCATTATCGTCGCAGTTTATCAGTTTAAGACAAAAACAACGCAGATGATAAGATAAGGCTTTAAACAAATCAAGTTGAGGTCAGGCAACGTCGGAGTCGAAAGGATAAATACTCTGCTCAGACAGTCAAGTATCCAATCTCTCTAATAGGAGAATAAATTACAAACTTGCTTTTGATTGGTTCCAAAAATTTAAATTTTTAGCAGCAGGAAACATAGGGATAGGAAATAACTAAGGGACCGACGAGCTGACCAAAGAAAGGTACTCAACTATCTTTGTGGTGCTGGAAGCATTTCTTGTTCCCATGCTTTATTTTCTTCGCGACTAATTTCTGACTGAGTAAACACCAAATGCTGTAAGTGCTGAGAAGCGCTACGGGCTGTAGAGAGGTCAGACACTTCGATCATCCTTTAGCTAGGAGGTACATTAATCTCTGAAATATTGCAGATATCTAGTTGAACTCTGGATATTTAAAAGTTATATTTGACTGGGTCCTTGTATTCGATCTGATTACACAAACCAACTGCCGGCTCTGGGTTGAGAACGACGAGATGTCAGAGCTCATTCTGGATACACTCCAAATCATCTAAGTATATTCGAGCGCCTTACAACAAGGAATTCGTGTACCAAGGTCCGCTTAGGTAGTATTTATTAGGGAAGCAGTGAGTACCTTGAGTATTCAGCGTTAGGAATTCTTCTACGGTGTGCAAAAGAACTTCCAGGTCGCAGTATCCCTTATACCAGATTACTTAACTAACTTAACTTATTTGGTTCCGTGGAGATTCGTTATAACGAAGTTTGACTGCTCAAGTGCATCGGCGCATAGGGATGCATACTAAGGAAAATCTGTCAGTTCAAAGAATTTATATTATATATTTATGTACATGTTTATGCCACTTCATAGGCATAGATAAACCAGTATACATATAAGTGTACATACCTATGTACATATATATATATTCATACTTACTCTTATATACTTGGATATATTTGCAATATGGAAATGGGAGCATGCAAAGTGACTTGGGTGTGGATGTTTACGAACTTTTAAATGTACTTATACTCGTACATAGAAACATTGCATATTTACATATATATCTACATTGTGGCGTGTAGTTATTTAGTACATGACACATCAAACAAATATTTGCGCTGTTAGTTTTAATTAATTAAACCACTCAACAAAGGGCAAGGCGCTGCAAGGCGATTGGGTTACAGATGCTAATTACGTTTACTTGCGTCGAACATCGTTTTACCTATGCTGAGCTGGCACAGACTCACAAATATTTATGTTAACATTGGAAATTCATGGAAAATTCACTTCAGACAACACGAACAACTTGTAAACTACCAAAAGTGAAAAAAGTGAAATTGAGCGCAAAACGCGAATGGCGTCGCGCATAACCACGATATACCTGCCAACATATTTACATACAAAGCTCTACAAGTTAGTTTTACTTTTACTACAAACTTATGCAGACATATTAAGGTATATAAATGAATTGGCTGTGTGCATAGGATACATTGTACATAGTGCATACACACGCAAGCCGGCAAAACAACTTTTACTGCCGCAGCAGCCGACAAATCTACTTGTTACAGCTGCTAATGGTCCAAGTGTCAAGGTGTTGGCTGCTGCGGTGGCTCAGACGGCCAGTAAGCAGTGCACATACATACATACGTACACACGTACACAGAAAGCGAGTGCAAATTTACCTGTGACAGATTGTTGCATTGGTTGCATGGCCGGGTGCAGATTTGCCTGCATGGCAGTGGATTCTTGTTTCGGCTGCTCTTGCGATAGAGAAGCTGACTCCTTACTTGGCGGTGCGGCTGACGTCGTCGTACTTTTCACGTTCGAGCTGCCATTCGTAATGGTATCGGCGGGCACCGATTCCTTAGCCACGACTATCACTGCACTGGGCGCTGCTGTACCTGTGGCTGGTGCAGCATTAGCGGGGGTGGGGGTGGCGGCGCTTACGCTTTCCACATTGTCGCTGGCACCAACATTTTCCACTTTGTTGCCGATTTCGATATCTTTATGGTTTTCGGATGGCATGATTTCTATAATTTCCACTTAATTCGATTTATTAACTTTTCTGTTTTTTGTACTTTATTTTTTATTTTTTTATTTTCTTTCGTTTTTACTTTGTGTTTTGTGCAACGCTTATGCTTTGTGTGTCGCACGCAATTCTGCACTGCACACTAAATGCCAACAATACAGTAATGCCACTACAACAAAAAACACGAATTAAAACAATAACATTTAACTAGGCATGTACATACATATATATATATATATATATATAGCAATTAACGCGCCTTCTGTTTTGCTTAGTTTTGCCTGTTTACGCTGTTCACTGAAATCAACACTCGCAATGCAGGTAATCGATTTAAAAATTAACTGTGAAAATTACTACATTTGAGCTGTTCAAAGTGTTGCAAAGAAAATACGAAAAACTATGACAGCGTAGACTACCACGCGAACCAACACCACGTTTTGATGGTTTTTCAGCGACTGAATCGCTGTTTAGACCTGAAGCTCGCAAAAGCCAAAAGCGGTAGCCGTCAACAGCACAAACTACTGGCCGTCTACCTGTCATTATATAGGTATGTATTAGGGATGTTAATTTTTCGGCTTTTTCCAAACCCGGGATTTTGCGGGATGGCGTTAGTCCCGGGATTTAAATATCCATTACTTTTCAACAACTTGAATTGAAAAAATTGCTTCTGTATTGTTTGAGAAGCTCTCCTACCATGAAATAAATAATAATAAATGGGATTGAAACCTACTTTTTTATTTAAAGTGGCGTTTTTATTTTTTCCCTCTTACCGCAGGATTTATTTTGAAGGACTTTGTAGTTTCAAAGATATGATTAATTCAGAAAATGTTAAAAAAATTCGCAATGGAAATTTCTTTAGAACTTAAAAAATTTAAATTTTTGGATTCACAAGGACGAATAGGTAATTTTTAAGCTGTCAAAGTTAGAAGAACGAAACTAGGGATGTTATCGAGTTTATATAAGCCCTTAACATATTATTTTTTCAACAATTTTTATTGAGCTCGAGGCCGTTTTTTAATGAAAATTTATTGTGGAAAAACAACAATAATTTGAAAAAAATGGTAGAAGTGATAGCTATTTCGGAAACCACCACATTCCCTTCTTTCAGTAGGCTTCGAACCGACGGTCCCACTGACTCAGCCAGTTGCCTATGCACCGTGCTAAGTACGCCTTGTAAATTATCGTTTGCTTTTTTCCACTATTTTCATTTTTGTTATGCCAACACAATCAAGCGCAATTCACTTGATCATGTGGTCGTTGGTAGTGTTGGTTTTTTGCTAATAATTCTATTTTTAGAATGTTTAACTTTTAGGTGTGCTCGTCCTTAAGTTATTTGTTTTTGTTTTGGCCTTAGAACAATTATATTCAACAATTTTTATTGAGCTCAAGGCCGTTTTTTAATTAAAATTTATTGTGGAAAAGCAACAATAATTTGAAAAAATGGTAGAAGTGATAGCTATAGCAAATTGTTATAAGGCTAAAAAATAACAAAATCAAATATTATTTCTTCAAAAACAAATATTGCAAAATTTCAAGGATAAAATTTTAAAATGACATTTTCAATATTTATTTTCATTTTTAAATTACTGACGTGAGAGTGAAAAACTAAAAACGCAATTTTACTATAGTTGGCCCATGGTTTCGCGGATATATTGATATTTGTGTTTAAAATTTACTATCGCGCGGTGTTATATGTAGAATGAGCTAGACATTTATAAAAAAATATTAATTATTAAATAAAAAATAAATATAGCCAATACTGGTCAAGAAAAGGAGTTTCTATTATTGCCATCAGTGCAAATTAGATATCCCGAAATTCCCTGAAAAAGGCCGGGATTAACATTCCTAATAGGTATGTATGTACCTTTGGTAAAGACAGTGTGTTGCCGCAAAAATCGAAACGCTGTTAAACTCAACGCTAAATGAAATCGAAATGAATACAATTTTGTGCTTAGATGGTGTGTCACTCTCCAAGTTTATCCATCCACATAAAACATCGATTATTTACTTCCAATAAAATCATTCAATTTGGTTATTTTTCTAATATTCACCACTACATTTTAACCAACTACAGGGCTGTTCGTGAGCTCGATCATTTTGAAAATATATATATATGTATATATGTATATCTAAAAGTTTCGTTTGATAAATACTAGAGATGGGAACGGGACTAAATATTCAATCCCGAGCCCGCCCATCCCGACGTTTTTCAGAATTGCCCCGCGGGTCCCGTGAAAATATATATATATGTATATATGTAAATCTAAAAGTTTCGTTTGATAAATAAAACCGACCTTTCCGAAATGTATATACTAGAGATGGGAACGGGACTAAATATTCAATCCCGAGCCCGCCCATCCCGACGTTTTTCAGAATTGCCCCGCGGGTCCCGTGGATCCCGAAGTCTATAACTAAGATTAATTCACATGTCTCAAATTAATTAAATAACAAAAAAAAAAACAATGAAAGATCTGGCATATTTTTTTGCTTTGCTGTTCGTTTTTCGTCTCAATGAAACATAAAAAAGTGGCAATTTCATAACCCGCATTTAAAGAAACTTATGAATTTTCGGAGGTTGTAAGTTTTATCGGGAGTATCGGGAAAGAATTTTGGTCCTGTCCCNCCCTTCTTTCAGTAGGCTTCGAACCGACGGTCCCACTGACTCAGCCAGTTGCNAAAATATATATATATGTATATATGTAAATCTAAAAGTTTCGTTTGATAAATAAAACCGACCTTTCCGAAATGTATATACTAGAGATGGGAACGGGACTAAATATTCAATCCCGAGCCCGCCCATCCCGACGTTTTTCAGAATTGCCCCGCGGGTCCCGTGGATCCCGAAGTCTATAACTAAGATTAATTCACATGTCTCAAATTAATTAAATAACAAAAAAAAAAACAATGAAAGATCTGGCATATTTTTTTGCTTTGCTGTTCGTTTTTCGTCTCAATGAAACATAAAAAAGTGGCAATTTCATAACCCGCATTTAAAGAAACTTATGAATTTTCGGAGGTTGTAAGTTTTATCGGGAGTATCGGGAAAGAATTTTGGTCCTGTCCCGCTCGCAAAATATTTAAAGACCTTCCCGATACCGTCCATCGCGGTCATTTTGAAAAATGTCGTAAGAATACCAGAACAACATAAGCCAAGTCGCATGACTTAGGCTCGAAAAAAAAATCTGAAAAGCAGAACACTTCTGGTGTACTCAGAAAATCTGTTTCAATTGCATTTTTAATATCATGAAATCGGAGTAAAAATTTCATGTGAGTTCGAATAACTCAAACATTTTTTCACCGCCTTTGTGTCCAAACTAGACCCGAAATGGTACAGAAAAATTCGGAACTGGTCTCAAATAATCCAGAAAAAATTGTGAACCGGACCCAAACTAGTTCCGAAATGATTCCGAACTATTGGGCCTGAACTGGAAGTGGTTTAAGAAGGCCTACAATGAAAGAAAATTTGATAGAAGGTTGCCACCTGTATGAAAAATTTAATTTAATTTAATTAATAAGATCAATTAAATATTGCAATATGGGTATCAAACTAAAGAGGTTTAGAGGTTTGAAAAATCTTATTCATTTAATTTGATAAAATAAAGGAAATATTACAATTCTGGCGTTTAACTATATAAAGAAGTTTAAGAAAGTTTACTGTCGCACACATTTTTTAAGGGCAATGCCACCTATCTGAAAATTTTAATTCAGTTAAATTAATAAGATAACCTAAGTATTGAATTAGTACACCTTTGAAGAAAGTGCGCGATAAGTAGATCAGTTCACTGCTCTCGCGTTGCCTTCTGCATTCCTATGCCCGGGAACCCAGACAAGAGAGATGGACATTGACGGAGACGCTGAGCGCAGTCCCATCTTGCATTCACTGAGTAGCTTGGAAATGTTACAGTAGATGATATAGACAGGAGTGTTGCCGAGCTATATGAGTAAATAATCGCTCTTCTTCCTGGTAGCACTGTTATTTATTACATTTCGCGTGCTGCAGATTTATTTAAACTATCTTACTGGTCCGCTTCATCGATCAGTTTAACTTCCATGAGAAGCTCACCTGCACCATCGATACCCGTATTCTCTTCCACTCAGCTAGTTTCACCAAGTATTTCCCTTATCTTGGCTTCTCTGATGCCGAACCGAATCTTATTGTCGGCCTTTGCAAGGGCCTCCAAGGATTCTACGCAAATCGCGAGGAGAATTGGCTGGCTTATTGGTGGGCTTTCTCGGCTCTTTGACTTTGATGAGCTCCCTCTTGCCTATTGCTGGGATGTTCTTGTTCTGCAGCTTTATGCACCGTAGAAACTTAGGGATTCCGACGAGTCAAACTCTGGGTAAGGACCTTCAGGGTTTTCGAGCCTCACCTCAATCGCCACCCATTTTCGCTGCACTGCTAGCGGCGTTCTTCTACCTTCGTCGATAATGGAAGCCTGAAGGTGGTCTCTTGCAACGTCGCTAAAGGAACGGTGCTTAGTAGACGTTGAGGACTCCGCTACACCCCCTTGCTTCCGAGTGATTTCTTTTTTGAGCTTCGCTAGCTACCATGGTGGCAGTACGTTCTGTCTGGAATTTCCCATAGTCTTCCTCCATGTCCCTGAGTGTATCTTCCTCATAGCGTCTGCTGCATGTGTTTTTGCGGCTAGGTACTGCTAGTACCTTGCTGCATGTAGGCTTTTCTTTCGGTGTACTATGGCTGGCACTACCGGCACTATAATTATCTAATTGCAAAACGGCTGTACTATGACTGGCACCTTCGGTTTTCCTGCCGCTTCTAACTTTTCCTTATGAGGTGCTATGGCTTGCACTAACACACAAAGCACACAAAGAGTCTTCAGTTATTGGAACAGAACTGTCTCTTGGCAGATATAACTTGAAGGAAGGGGTTTGTTAACCTAGGATACACCACAAGCACTACCAATAACGTCATCCTGGACACCAAGCAGAAAACAACCTTTGCCAAAAGTCGCTTCTTTAGAATCGGTAGAAAATTGAATAGCGGATCCCTCTATCGACGAACAAAAATTACGCTCTACACTTCTCTCATCTGCTCATCCTTTTATAATAGTGCATTCCCACTTTATCGACCTCGAAAACGCGTATAAGTGTTTTCACCACACCTAGACATTTGACGGTCACAGGTAATATTTAAAACTGCATTCCTTGTAATAATTTTTGTTTATTTTTACATTTTTCATGCTAAATTGTTGGAGAAGATAATAAGAGCTGCAGCACTGAACCGCTTAGGAAAAATTTACTACAAGAGCGTGCAATTGTTGGCTTATGCCGATGACATCGATATCATCGGTATCAAAAACGGCGAAGTCTATTCTGCCTTTTCCAAGTTGGATAAGGAAGCAAAGCGAATGGGTCTGGTGGTAAACGAGGACAAGACGAAGTATCTCCTGTCAACAAACAAACAGTCAACAGATTTGCGCCTTGGCACCCACGACACTGTTGACAGTTATAATTTCGAGAAAGTAGAGAATTTCGTTTACTTGGGAACCAGCATTAACACCGATAATAACGTCAGCATAGAAATCCAACGCAGAATCGCT